CTTTCTCAATTCCTTGATGAATTCCAGTGTTCTCCCTTCAATGTTCTATTTGATGTCTGGTTATCTATTTGTTGTTTTGTCCTTTTTTTATGGACAAAGCCAGGGCTTGGTGCCTCTGTACAACCATCTTAATGTTATTCTTTGCACGAGTCTATGTGATTGCATTTATGTGAAGTTTTAATCCAATCTAAACTAATTTAAACTAATTTAAATTTATAATTTATATGAAGTCTAATCCAATCTAATTTATAGTGGAAAAATGTCATTTCGGAAATGCGTTGAGAGAGTAGCAGAAGAGGTTAGGGGGAGCCAAATTGTGAAGGAACATAAGAAAACTTTCTGGAGTATTGAAAATGTATACAACGTTGATGGGTTTGTGGGTTACATGAGCATATTCATTTGTAACTGTTATTTCATTATATACAAATTTTACATCAAATGAATAATTTACTTGGGGGTAGAGAGTGAGGGGATGTATAGAAGAATTAGTAATGACAGGAAGTTTATGGTTGAAGTTGTATGATGGGAATGCAGAGGTTCATTAAACTGTTTTGTTTACTTTGCATATGTTTGAAATTTTTCAATAAGAAAAAGTTTTTTAAAAAGATTTTGAAACAAATTAAAATCTCACAATGTGGTGATTTTTATGAGAGTAATAGGAATTAAGTGCTGTGGAACCACAAGACCTGGAGCAATTACTTGCCTGGGGAGATGAAGAACGGGAAGGGCTCTTAAAAAAACACACACATCTCAGCAGAGGTGACATTTGATTTGGAATTTAAAGGCCAAGAAAAACCATAGCAGTGGAAATGCCTAGAATAGATAGTGAGTGATTAGAGAACATTGTGGAGCTTCTAGATAGAGTACACATAATTGCCAATACTTTGTAGTCTTCTGGAATAATCCTTTTTTCATAGAAACAGTAAAGCAGAATGAACAGGACAGAGAGACCTGTGTCAGCCTATTCTACTCAAAATGTCCTTGGATAATTTAACTTGCAACAGTTCTTTGCACTTTAGTTTTCTTATCTGTGAAGTGAGGGGATTCAACAACGTTATACCTTCAAACATTTGAAAATTTTCTGAAGTCATAAGCTAGTATGGCAAAGCAAGATATAGAATACAAGGTCTGAAAACATCTAATTCCCAGAACTTTCCTATAGCCATATTTCATGTATTCTGAGATACACATTCCCCCCCCCCCTTTTTTTTTCTCTCTCTCTCTCTCTTTTATTTGTGAGATGGAGTTTCTCTCTGGAGTACAATGGTGTAATCTTGGCTCACTGCAACTTCTGCCTGCCAGGTTCAAGTGATTCTCCTGCCTCAGCCTCCTGAGTAGCTGGAATTACAGGCATGCAGTACCATACACAGATAATTTTGTATTTTTAGTAGAGATGGAGTTTCACCATTTTGGTCAGGGTAGTCTCGAACTCTCAACCTCAGGTGAGCTGCCCGCTCCAGCCTTCCAAAGTGCTGGATTACAGGCATAAGCCACAAGCCAGGCCTGAGATACACATTCTTACTTAACTTTTAACATCATTGAAATCAGGGCATACCTTATGATCGATGATGTCAAATTTCCAATGCTATAGTGTCATTGCCTGCCTGCAAGTACTTGGTTATAATTCTTGTACAGAATGACTACATTATGGCATCCATTGATGTTTTAATCAACAAACTACCTATAGACCTATGGAGGAACAAATGCTAGTTACAGTTGCTGCCTGGAAAACTTCCACTGGTATCTTACAGTAAAATCAAAAAAGATAGCATCAGCGTCAAATTTTGCAAATTGGAGTGGCTTGACAGAACATTCCCAAGAATGTTCTGTCAATGTAACCCTCTTTAAAGAAATTCTGCATTCTTCAGTGATCTTGATGGCTCAGTTGACAGTATTGTGAGGAGAAACACATCAATAACTGAGTTAAAAAGAGCTTCAGAAGAGGTGAACCATTCAAAATGTGAAGTCTTAATGCATTTTGCTTATATTTTCCTTTTTACATATACAAAGGGGCAATATGTGATAAGAGCATATGTCTGAATAAGTATAAAAGAGATTTTCATTTTAAAAGTTATGCCTACAGTCTAAAAACTATTTTCTCAGTATTAATACAAAAGGGAAACGCAAAGTAATAAAGTATCATGTCATAGTTTAACTGACAATGTTTTTTCTTTCTAAGAATATATGTAAAATGATAGTTTATCTGGTGGAGTCTTAACTTTGTGAAACCTGGTGCTTCCCCTAGCACTTTCTTCCTGTTTCTCTACACTTTTTTGAGACTATAGATTGTCATTTCTGCAAGCTTTCCATGCATAGGAACTACACCAAAGGCTTTACAAACATACTCTCCACCAATCTACTGAGAACCTTATGGGGAAATAACCATTATTATACCCACTTAATGTTGAGGAGGCTGAGGGGTCTTATAGTTACATGCCTTGTGACACATTCCTTTCTGAAATTAGTGGAGAACCACAAAATGAACCTTCCCTGGCCCAGATAAACTTTCTAGAATCCATCAGCTCCTATAATTTGGGGAGGCACAGCAGAAGGCACAGAGGTTTAAAACAGTCCCCACGTATACCTTAAGAAAGGCTGGCAGTTTGCAGTGGCATAACAATCATAAGCTTTGGAATTAGAATCAGGTTTCAATATCAATTCTACTACTTACTAGTTCTATAATTTTAAGCAAACTATTTAAATTTCCCAAGTTTCAGTTTCTTCCTCTATCAAACAGGTTTAAGAGTTGTGTGAGAGTTCAATAATTCAATCATTCATGTATTCAACAAGTGTTTACAGAGTGCTGAACTCCTATTAGGCATGTATGTCATGTGAATGAATATGAAAGCCCCTAGCAGAGCACCAGGTATGCAGCAGGCACTTGGAAGATTTGTTATTTTGTTTTTATTTGTCTGGACCTATTTCCCCTTCATATCAGGCTGTCATTTATATTTTGGTGTGTCCCCTCCACCCATAGTCTACAGGACTGCTGTAATTAGATGCCCAGTCTCCTCCTAGCCTGAAGGTGAGCATGTGAACCAAGCCAAGCTGTGGATACCCATCTCCGGAATTTGAATCTTCAGCCCAATGACAAAGCAGCTGATGATGGTAGGAGTTCCTGCCTTCTACCACTGCCAAAACCCTTCCACCTCAGAAGGAAGCTGTCTTGTTTCCTATTCCTTTCCAAGCCTGATTCTCCAGTGTTGCTATTGTTTTTGTCAGTTTTGCAATGATGTTATCATTCCAAAAATTCCCTTTTGCTTAAGTTAGCCAGAAGCCATTTTTGTCACATGCAACCAAAGAAATCAGATGCCCAGTTAAAAAGAAAAGTTAACTCCTCTTTCCCAAACATCTGTTGTATAGCTAGGAGAAAAGAAGTACAAAAAAAGGATGATTAATGGTACAAGCATTCAGAAATACTCACTTTGGCAGCATACATGCTAAATTCAGAATAGTTCATGTCAGATATTCTAAATAAAAATTCCACTGACTTACTCTGGTTGGGGGCTTACTATGGGAGAGGCATGGCACACATGGCCACATATAAAGCTCACTGGAACCTGTGTAGTAGGTAACATCATCACCCCTGTTTCTTAGATGAAGATATTAAATCTCAGAGACATTAAGTAACTTGCTTACAGGACCAACTATAGAATTTGTGGGGCCTATTGCAAAATAAAAATGCAGAGCCTCGTGTTGGCTAACTATTAAGAATTTCAAGACAGTGATAACAGAGTACTAAACCAAATTCAGAATTCTCCTGAGCTTGCACATCTACCCCGACCCCCAACCACATGTGACGGCACAGGTCACAAACTCACAAAGTTGGGTTTGCTAACTTAAGTTAGCAAGTGGAGAAGCTGAGACTTAAGCACAGGTCTGTTGGTCTTGGAAGTCCAGGATCTCAGTTAGTAAGTGTGCCTATAATGGGAATGTCCTAAATCAGGCTGAAACTGATAATCATTCTAGATCATTCAGATTATCTAGGCATTGCCCTCCATCTCCTATCCATGGAGCAGCTGGGGAATCAGATAAAAGGTTGATGAGGAGGACTTCAGGAACTCACAGGGAAAAGTACTTAATCTGGGCCAGTAGAGACAAGCCTTACTCTTCTGAGCCTTCCTTTTGTGTTATTTAGGCTCCACCCTTTGAAAGGGCCCTAGACCAATTATGGCAAATTTAGAGGAGCCTGAGCAGGATGCTGAAGGCATTTCATACAAGTGTTTACAGAACTGAGAGTGGTTAGCCGGGAGACCAGAAGAATCACGGCCGTCATCAAATGTCTTCTTCCCTGGGGCGTTAGAAGGTTTTTGACGGTTAGAAGCACTGTGGCAGGGATCTATCTTGCTCATCATGATACTCCAAGTGTCTGGCATAGTGCCTCGGATGACACAGTTAATGCTCAAGAAGTAGGAAATGAAGGAATTAATTAAACAGCCTGCTAAATGTTAAGTGGGAAAGGGACTAGATGTGTTTTGTTTCCTCCCTGTCAAGGAGGAAATCAGTTTTAAAGTAGGAGGTAGATTTCGATGTTTGAATATAAGAAAGTTCTATAGCCCCAAGATGGATCAAGCCACTGGTAGGTCCTTTTCATAAGAAGGTCTCGAATGTGGAGATAGTGACAAGAATACATGGCAAATAGGTTTCTACTCTCATGGCAGTTCTAACTGATTGAAAGTGGCTACCTTTCTTTTGGGAAGAAATTGTGCTGTGATCAATTACTGGTGCTTGCCATGAGCACATGAATACCATTTTGATGTCTTTCTTTTTTTTCTCTTTGAGATGGGTCTCACTCTGTCACCCAGGCTGGAGTATAGTGGTGCAATCTTGGCTCACTGCAACCTCCCCCTCCTGGGTTCAAGCACTTCTCCCACCTCAGCCGCCTGAGTAACTGGGATTACAGGTGTGCACCACCACGTCTGGCTAATTTTTGTATTTTTAATAAAGACGGGGTTTCACCATGTTGGTCAGGCTGGTCCCGAACTCCCGACCTCGTGATCCGCCTGCCTCGGCCTCCCAAAGTGCTGGGATTACAGGCATGAGCCACCATGACTGGCCCATTTTGATGCCTTTCTTAAACCTCAGTATTTGTGACTCTGAATCTGCACATTTTATCCAACCCAGAAATGATGGGTAAGGTTAACTTTAGTGCTCCAGTGTAAGGCAAATTAATTGAAACTGAGTTTACCAAAGCTCATCTCTGTGTGGCTAGACCAATGCCTAACTTTCTTGGTTCAGAGGCATTTTCCTACCCTAATTAGAAAATTATTTGAAACACATTGTTGTTCAATTCTAGTTAAATATAAAGTTATGGAGGTTTTGAGGATTTTTGTTTTTTAGTTTTGAGCTTGGCTACTATAAATATAATATCCAGCCCCACTGGGCAATTTTGGATGTCACATTCACTATGCTTACAGATGTCTGTGGGGGTAGAACTCTGAATAAATCTGTCTAAATAGTAATAAAGAATTACATTACTTCATAGCAATGTTAACCTTTGGAGGCAAAAGTCCAGACACGTTGAGGAATGGAAAATGAGGACATGGGGGGTACAATTCCATTAGCTGTCATCAGAAGAAAAGGCCAAAAGGGGATTAAAATCTATAGCACATTCAAAGAGGGCAGAGAATAAACTGGTCCAACTTTGAAGAGGAAAGATTGAATATTTGCCATTGTTTCCTGTTTCCTCCACAAAGGGGTTTATTAATTTACACTTAAGGCTATGCCTACCTCAGTTAATTGAGTTTTAAAAATGAATAATGGACTCACTCGTTTAAAACTAAAGAAGAGACAATCACTCATACAGTATTTATTGTAGGCTGTATTTTATATCTTTATTCTAATCAGGAATTTTTAAACCTGGGGATCCAGGGATGCCATTTTTTAAATATAATTCAGAGGGTCACTAAAATTTTATTCAAAATGTAATGTGTGCTGTGAATGTGTGTGTGTGTGTGTTTGTGTGTGTGTGTGTGAGAGAGAGAGAGAGAGAGAGAGAAATGGTCCACAACTAGCTTTATACTCCTGAAAAAATTAAGAAATCCTAAATCAATTTCCTCATTTTATCTTGATTCAGATATTCATTGAATGCTGAGCTATGTGTAAATACTAATCTAAATATTTTAACTAAAGATTTCTTCATTTAACCCTTCTGTGAAGTACCATATTTTCTGCACTTGGAAACAGAAACTCAGAGTTTAAATAACAGTAATTGCTACCATTTATTGAATACTTCTAATGTACTGATTGTTTTTATATCTAATTTAATCTTACAACAATTCTATGAAGTACATGTTATTTCTTTCCCATTTACCAATGATGAACTAAATGGTCAAAAAAGTTTAGTTACTTCAGGTTACTTAACTGAGGCTCTTTGGCTAGGTATCTGACACATGGATTTGAGCTCAGGTATAATACCAAATCCCAAACTTTAGTCATTACACAATGCTATCTTTTCTTAATAGCCTGCAGCATTTGCACATAGGTATGCTTCATCCTAAATAGCAGGATATTATTTAATAGGCGTTCCAATAGCATTCACTGCCTAAGTGACCGTTCTTACTACCTGAATTAGTCACACTGACTTCCCTTCCTTTCCATCCATACACATTTCAGAAAAGGCAATATATTTCATCAAATTGAAGTAACATAAAAATATCTTATAGCTTTCCTTCTCCAGAAGCTTTTCCCAGGCCAGCAAAAGTTGTGTCTACAAATGTTTGCTTGTATGGTTCCTGTGAGACTCTCTCACAGGCCAAGTAATCTGCGCCCTTATTGGGACTCAGGTGAGTTTGTTGCTGGGATGAAGATGAGTCTTCCAGGTGGAGATAAAGAAAGGCAACAACTAGAGACTGATAGTGTCAGCAGAGGGGATTCTCCCCTTTCTATATATTTTTTATCTTTCAAGGCTCCACATAAAACTTCCTTCTCCAAGAAACCTCCTGGACATTTGATCTCTTGAGCACTTGCAGTTAGTACTACCTTAGAGTTGAAGAGTTACCAGCAGGAAGAAGAGGTATGAACTATTTAATCTAATAATCTTTCATTCAATCACCCAAGTTTTCATTTCTACTCTGTAAAGTGTTAGAGGCTTCTGAGTGAAGTAGGTCTGATACTTCCTTACAGCAGTTAGAGGGGCCTGGTGTGAAAAAATGATTACAACAACTGTCTGAAGGGCTGTAATAGTGGCATTTTGCAAGTAATGTAGGAGCACAGAGGAGATAACAACAAAGTCTCCTGGGGGTGTTCGGGAAGACTTCACAGAAAAGTAATATTTAAGTGTGGTTCTCAACAAAGAGTAGCAGTTTTCTGAGAGAGAGAGGAAAATGGTGATAAAGGCATTCCAGAAAGGGGCTGGAATAGATGTTAAACTGTTACGATGTATTTGGGAAGAGTGAGATTTTCAGTATGACTAGTCTAGAAGGAAATTGTATTGAGGAATGAAGCTGAGTTTGGGGTTTGTATTAGTCTGTTTTTATGTTACTGTAAAGGAATACCTGAGACTGGGTAATTTATAAAGAAGAGAGGTTTAATTGGCTCATGGTTCTGCAGGCTGTACAAGCATGCCACCAACATTTGCTCACCTTCTGGTGAGGACCTCAGGGAGCTTTCAATCATAGTGGAAGGTAAAGGGGAGCCAACGTGTCACAGAGCAGGACCAAGAAACAGGGGGAGGCACCACACTCTTTTACCCAACCTCTTTTAAACAACTATCACAAGAAGAACTCACTTATCACCAAGGAAATGGTGCTAAACCATTCATTAAGAGTCTGTCGCCGTCACCTCCCAGCAGACCCCACCCTCCAACACTGGGAATCACATTTCAATACAAGATTTGGAGGGGATGTTACTAAAACACAAAAAGAAATGGCAACAAAAGTCAAAATAGACAAATGGGATCTAATTAAACTTAAGAACTTCTGCACAGCAAAAGAAACAGTCATTAGAGTGAACCAGCGACCAACAGAATGGGAAAAAATTTTTCACAAGCTACCCATCTGACAAAGAGCTAATATCTAGAATCTACAAAGAACTAAAGCAGATTTACAAGAAAAAAAAATCCCATCAAAAAGTGGATGAAGGATATGAACAGACACTTTTCAAAAGAAGACATATATGACGCCAACAAATGTGAAAAAATGCTCATCATCACTGGTCATTAGAGAAATGCAAATCAAAACCACATTGAGATACCATCTCACGCCAGTTAGAATGGCAATCATTAAAAAATCTAGAGACAACAGGTGCAGGAGAGGATGTGGAGAAATAGGAACACTTTTACAGTTTTGGTGGGAGTGTAAATTAGTTCAACCATTGTTGAATATAGTGTGGCGATTCCTCAAGGTCCTAGAAATAGAAATTCCGTTTGACCCAGCAATCCCATTACTGGGTATACATCCAAAGGATTATAAATTGTTCTGTTATAAAGACACATGTACATGTATGTTCATTGTGGCACTGTTTACAATAGCAAAGACCTGGAACCAACCCAAATGCCCATCAATGATAGACTGGACAGGGAAAATGTGGCACATATACACCATGGAATACTATGCAGCCATAAAAAACGACAAGTTCATGTCCTTTAGAGACATGGATGAATCTGGAAACCATCATTCTCAGCAAACTGACACAAGAAGAGAAATCAAACACCACATGTTCTCACTTATAGGTGGGTGTTGAACAATGAGAACACATGGACACAGGGAGAGGAGCATCACACACTGGGGTCTGTTGGGGGGAAATAAGAGAGGGATAGCAGGGGGTAGGGAGGTTAGTGAGGGATAACATGGGGAGAAATGCCAGATAATAGGTGACGGGGGGATGGAGGCAGCAAACCACATTGCCATGCATGTACCTATGCAACAATTCTGCATGTTCTGCACATGTACCCCAGAACCTAAAGTGCAATAAAATATATATATAAAGAAAATGTGGCACATATATACCATGGAATACTATGCACCCATAAAAAAGGATGAGTTCATGTCTTTTGCAGGGACATGGATGAATCTGGAAACCATCTTTCTCAGCAAACTGACACAAGAACAGAAAACCAAACAATGCATGTTCTCACCATAGGTTGGTGTTGAACAATGAGAACACATCACACACTGGGGTCTGTTGTGGGGTGGGGGTCTAGGTGAGGGATAGCAGGGGTTGGGAAGGGATAACATTGGGAGAAATGCCTGATGTAGGTGACAGGGGGATGGAGGCAGCAAACCACCATGATATGTGTGTACCTATGCAACAATCCTGCAAGTTCTGCACATGTACCCCAGAACTTAAAGTATAAAAAAAAAATTTGGAGGGGACAAACATCCAAACCATATCAGGGTGAGACTGTGAAGGACCTATGTGTAGGCTCTGCTCCTGACCTTATTTTGTCGTATGATGTCATTTCCTTGTCAGTTATTTGACTTAACTGTATTTTACCTTATTCCATTATATGAACAAGTGGGCAATAGGACTTAGGAAGACTGATTATTTAGATAAGAAGCAAACAACTATATAAGAATGCAGTTTCCAAAGATAGAAACCATTAAATATGTCTAAAGCAATGATCGTTTTAGCTTTAATTAAAGACCTGTGGGACAAAAGACTGTGCATACAGTGTGAAGAAAATGAACTACATTAAAAAAAAATGCTTTTCCTTCAAAAAAAAATTTTCTAGGAGAAGAAGAAACCCAGGAAGGAAACAACAGTATTTTTAGAGTGACTATTCTGTGTTATTATTACACCAGAATTGAATTAATTACAACTTTTAGTTCATGATATACTGTCATTATGTCCATCTTTTATTTTATTAATAACATAAATATTGTATTTGGCGAATCTGCCACCAAACATTAAAACAAGAACATTGGCAATTACTTCTGCCTTCCCAAGTGTTTCTTTTCTTCCCTTCTCTCTGCCTTCCCATTCAAATTCACCCCTCTTTTAACTCTCCTAACTCCTGTGATGTCTATCCTCTTATTTTAATACACCATTTATACACATATACTTTTACATAGACCATATACATATACTAAGTATACATGCTTATGTATATATACACGGACACATATATAATATACAATGTATTTTTATTTAAATTTTTAAAATTCAATTGCTTTAGGGGTACAAGTGTATTTGGTTATACTGAGGGATTGTACAGTGGTCAAGTCTAGGATTTTAATGTATCCATCACCCAAGTAGGGTACATTGTGCTCAATAAGTAATTTTTTATCCCTCCCCTGAGCCCTCTTCCTTTGAGTCTCTGATGTCCATTATATCACTCTGTATGTCTTTATTTGCCCATAGCTTACCTCCTACATATAAATGAGAACATGGGCATTTAGTTTTCAATTCCTGAGTTACTTCACTTCGAATAATGGCCTCCAGTTTGCAGAAGACATTATTTAGTTCTTTATTATGGCCGAGTAGTATTCCATGGTGCATATATATACCAAATTTTCTTTATCCACTCCTCTGTTGATGGGCACTTAAGTTGATTCCATATGTTTGCAATTGTGAATTATACTGCAATAAACATACGTTTACTGGTGACTTTTGATGTACTGACTCCTTTTCCTTTGGATAGATAGATACCCATTAGTGGGGTTGCTGGAACAAATGGTAGATCTACTTTTAGTTCTTTGAGAAATTTCCATCCTGTTTTTCAAAGAGGTTGTACTAATTTACATTCCCATCAGCAATGTATAAGCATTCCTTTTTCATCACACTCACACCAACATCCAGTGTTTTTTGTCTTTTTAATGGCCATTCTGGCTGGGATAAGGCAGTATTTCATTGTGGTTTTAATTTGCATTTCCCTGATGATTAGTGATGTTGACCATTTTCTTATGTTTGTTGGGCATTTGTATATCTTCTTTTGAGAAATGTCCATTCATTTCCTGTGCCCACTTTTCAATGGGATTATTTGTATTTTTCTTGCTGATTTGTTTGAGTTTTTTGTAGACTCTGGATGTTAGTCCTTTGTTGGATACATAATTCACACACATATATTTATTATTAGATTATAAAAATTCAGTTATGCTGGTACATAGAGTTGTAGTTTATTTTTTTACTGCTGATTATATTTTATGTGAATATACCACCACATATTTATTCATTCTGCCACCAATGAGGATTTGGGTTTTTCCTTAATTACCTATCATATGAAGAAATTTCTGATATTTTTCTGTCTCCATTTCAAATTTCCCATAAACTCACTGAAATGGTTATTCTTTTCTTCATTTTCTGGGGTGCAGACACTAACCTCAGAGAGGGTATGGCACTTTCCTAATCACAGGGCCACACAATAGCAGAGCCAATGTTTCAGTTTGCTTCTGTGCAAATCCAAAGTCTGCCTTAGAACTTCCTTCCTTCCTGGAGGCTCAATTTTGACCCAGTGTGCTAACGCCTCAGGAGACTTCCCCATCATTCTTGTTTTTTTTTTTTTTTTTTCTTCTGAGCCCTTTTTATTAGTCATTGCTGGGGTGAAGAGGGAATTTCCAGAGCTACTCCTTTCAGTAGATATCAAAACAACATGTTCACTCAGGCAATTCCATGTGTAGTAGTCAGTTACACTAAAAAGTTTTGATCTAGTCAGCTGGGCGGGACTGCATAGACACAGCAAGCTGCTTGAATGAATTTTCTCCTTTTCTAACAGTTGTTTTCTCACATAGGTAATGAGAGTAATCCTTTACTTGTGAGCTGAGTTGTCCCGTTTCCAAAGCTCTCTCTGAGTAAGAAAAGTCCTGTTGGCCCCATTTTGCAGCTGAGGAAACCAGATGTTAGCGAGATGAAGTGATTCAGTTACTAAGTGATAGCTTGGAAATGGGATTTCTAGTCCAGCACATGCTCTGCTTTTCCATACAAATATTTCCTACTTAGATTAAATATATCACTCTGCGATGAAATCTGAAAATCCAATTCTCAGGACATTTCCCAAACACGGTCTTCTTCACTGTTAAGAGTCCCATTATTTCCAGCAGAAAGATACCCAGTCAGTTCTCTAACCCCCAAAATATTTGAAAACCACAAATTTTGCTAAATGACAGTCACAATACAAAAAGGAGACAAGTGATAGCATGATGTGGTTTGAAGGTATTAGGATAGACGCCTCCCTTAAAATCTCTTTCTGAGAGATTCACAGAGAATGAAGCTCCTGTCTGTCACAGAGAATGAAGCTCCACTACTTCCCCACTTGTACCTGGGTTGTTCTCAACCTTTAAAAGACCTTTATGAAAAGATGAGATATAGTATAGATCCTATTTTAAAATATCAAAAACTTAGACAAATGGTTAGCTGTGTGTTCTTTCAATATTATATCGGCT